TTTTTTCTTCAGTGACCTCAGTTTTAGAAGCAGGTGGTATGGGATTAGCAACTATGTAAGACATTTATATTATTTTTAAAATTATAAAGGACCTTAGTAATGATTTTTTTTTTCATTTCTGCTAAAAACAAACAAAAAAAAAACCCTACCAGTGCTTAAAAGTGTTATTAAATTTATTGTGTAATTGTTACTTTTAAAAAGTTACATTCTGGTGTAAGCCTGATTTGTCCACTGGGAGCTCAGTGAAAGAAGGCCACTGTGTAAGAAGCTTGGCTTTTAAGTGCTAGGGCATTACAAATTACTGTGGATAAATGTCAGTAACTACCACTCCAGCAACCATGCTGTAGATTCCTGTTAGAAGAAGGAAGCTCTCCCTCCTAACAGTTACACTCCCTGGTTGGAAAAAGGTTAGTCAAAAAGATCTTTATTTTCTCAACATGGAGATGGATTACATGGCACTCAGCAGCCACTGGAGGAGACTGACATATAAATGGCTAAATTGCATAACACCTTAGTAAGTTCAGTGAGTTGGAATGGAGGGAGGACAGCTTTGGTGCCAGACAGACTTGGGTTCAGATGCAGCTCTCACCAGCTTTATGACCTTGCAAGAAATATTCAGTTTCCACTTCTGTACACTGGAGATGCTAATATCAAGAAATGCTGGAGGACTGAGATAAGAGATTAAGTACCCAGTCTGAGTCTTGACTGAGGGGCACTTCATAATGGATTTTAAGGATTGTGGGGGGTTGAGGGAAGAACAGAAATATAGAAATTAATGTGTAGACACAGGGAATGATATACACTTGCTACAGTAAATTTCCTCATGAAGAAAAGGAAGGAGATGGGGCCGTAGCCTGAAGAGGAGATAGAGCCCAAGGATTCTTTATTGTTGTTGTATTTATATTGTTGCGTTCAGCAAAAGCAGAGGAGAAAGCAAGACAATATGGTTGAGAGCTATAGTTCACTGATTTCGTGAACAATATATCGTGTGGCTGCCAGACGCTGGTCTAGGGACTGAGGTCCTGGCAGTGAACAGAAGAAGCCCCTGATTTCTTGGAGCTTACAATCTAGTGGGAGGAGACAGATAATATAATATTATAAAGGTGCCATGAAGGACAATTAAAGCAGAAAAAGAAACCAGCAAGTGACTGAATGGGGCTAAGGAGCTACCTTTAGATAGGATGGCCAGGGAGGGCTTTCCTAAGAACTGGGGAAGCTCACTGAGGGTGCAAGATCACTGAGGCAGCATGAGGGACCAGAGAGAAGAGCCGGATCCAGAACAGGATTGGGAATACTTCAATTCCTTCTTCTAAGAAACACGGGTTATTTTTACATTTTAAATTGTCTCAGGACTTGAGGTGGATGAGTTGTATATTTAGAGTGACAGTGTCTCTCTCTCTTTTCACCCCATCCCAGAAAAGGTTTTTATAAATTTATTTGTGTGATATAATGAAAGACAGAAGGAGAGTTTACAAGTAGAAAGAAGGGACAGTGAGTGAATTCCCACGTAATGGCCTCTTTTTTTCCATGAAGTCAATGTCAAAAATCATTTGCAAGAGAAAGAAGGCCCTGGGGGTCGAGCAAGGTTGGAGTAGAGGGAGTGTGGCTACAAAGAGCAATGGGAGAAACCTAGGCTAGCCCCAGTCAAGAGCTGAGGGAAGTCTGTGAAAGGGTAAGCAAACAGATTGCAGAATAGGATTGCAGAATAGATTTCAAGGTGAGAAACCTTAAACATTGTCCAG